GCCGGCCAAAGAGGAGTGGGCTGGGGTGGGGTTATTTTTTGTAGTTGTGTGAGGGGGGAGATGCGCCCCCCCCCCCCCCCCCCCCCCGTTGATTAATCATTTTTGAGTTGAGATTGTGTTAGCATATTGTGAATGTTTCAGATCTTGTCGTTGTTCCTATCTTAAGATAGAGCATTGACTATGAATATATTGTATGTAGATTGGAAAATTTGATCTGCACTCGAAATGCTTATGGTTGGTTCGTCTTCAATAGTTTATTGCGGATATAGATCACATGATCATACAAATAGTGGCTTATATAAACCATGCCAAAGAGAACACAGAATAGAACATTCTCAACAGTTGAAAAGAATTACTTGTTACCTAACAAAATGGGTTAGTTTTACTGAAATTTTCTGGCGACCACATAGGACACTTTCATGTCAGCTCATGATATCTCTCATATAAATCAGCAAGATAACTTCATACAAACTTTCTATTGTTTTATTCTTTTATGTAACATGGGTTACCCAGTCTATTAAAAACTCTTAAAGACACAATATTAGCCAAGATCACTACTTTGATGATTACACTTCTTATATTTATCTCAATAATAATACTTAAGAGAGATCATATCAGCCAATAATATCTCATTTGACACATCGAGTTGAATATTTAAAGTTCATATACATATAGTTGAGTACGTATAACTTCTTGTTTACTTGTATTGGTGCTTAAGATTAATAAAATAACCTGTATACGACTTTGAATATGATACGATTTATTACATCGAGTTCGACTTTACTACAATGATTCTTAGGGTCAAAGTTTAAAAAAAATTATCTGTTCAAATCCAAATTTGAAAAGAATAGTTTATGAAGTGTAAAAATCGATAAAAATTGAATATACACATCTAAGTGTCTGATAGGACAATTGTTTGAATCCTATTATTTGGACTATATTTAATATGCTGTTTACCTTCTAGCGATTGAAAGCATGGGAACAACGCGAAAGAAAAAAACAAAGTGATTATGAACTTGAGAAACGTCGTGAATTAACTCGATTACATGATGAAGAAAAAGAAGGCAAACGTTTATTAGCATTTCTTGAAGATTATAATGATGAAAACGATGATCCAAAATATTACAAGTAAGAATTTGTTTTTTTTTTTTGTTTGCATTAAACTAATGAATAATAAATTGTTTTCTATCTAGAGGTACATCATTAGCTCGTCGTTTAAAAGATCGTGAACATGAAATTGAAGCTGACAATCGTGATAGACGTCATGAAAAAGAAGAAATTGAAGAATTACGTCAAAAATTATTACTTCAAGATAATATTGATGATATAGAATTAGAAATAAAACGACGTTTAGAAAAAGAAGAAGAATTAATACGTAAACGTTTAGCTGATCTTACACGAACAACAAGCGATGAATCTATGGACGAATCAGATAATGACGATGAATCTACAAATAATCGAAAAGATATTACTATTCCATCAGTTGAATCAACTAATACTAGTAAGACAAATCTTGAGAAAGGAATCGTGAGACCATCGACTAAACAAGACACTCAATAAAAAGAAAACTTTCTTTTTTTTTTTGTGTATTCAGTGCATCAATGTCTGAAATCAACAAAACCAAAATCGTAGTTTCTCATGATCTTTCTTTTAAAGCACTCAATACTG